AAATTACCGAAGAGAGCAGGTAGAACATCTATGTTGTGTCCCAACATACATAGCCAAGCCACACCAGTTTTTTTTTTTAGATAAGGTAATAGATAAAGTGGATTGATTGACGTTAATTAGTGTAATTAAAAAAAATACAGTAGAACCTCGCTTAACGAGCACCTCTCATAACGAGTGATTCGCATAACAAGCAAAATAAAATGTAAAAATATGTCTTGCTTAACGAGCGACGTTTCGCATAAAGAGTGGCGAGGAGAGGGGAAGTCCCGGATTGTGCACATGTTACATCAGTCTGTGTTAAGCACTCGTTCCAGTAGCATCGTAGTGTCGCTTGTGGTCACACATTTTCTCAAACTTGTGTTATATTATGATATATCTACATCAATCCTCAAGACCAACAAGATGATCTCTCTGAAGAATTTAAGTTCATCAAGATCCAGTTTCTGCCTCCCAACACCACACCGTTACTCCAGCCAGTAGACCAGCAAGTTATTTCTAACTTTAAGAAGCTCTACACTAAGACACTCTTCGAGCATTGTTTTCATGTGACTGAAGGGACCAACCTCACTCTCAAAGAGTTTTGGAAAAATCACTTTCACATAGTTGCCTGCCTCAAGATGAACGACAAGGCAGGGAAAAGGGTTACCTAGAGAACCCTGACTTTTGCCTGGAAAAAGCTTTGGCTGGAGAGCGTTGTCAATTTGTGACTTTGAGGGGTACGAGACAGTACACGTGGAACCTGTAGTCAACGAGACTGTGTCTTTGGCCACTATCGTGGGATTGTAGTTGGATAACAGTGATATCGAAGAGCTTGTGGAAGAGCACAGCCAAGAGCTGACCACCCAAGAGCTTATGGAGTTGAATTGTGTTTCACAGCAAGAAGTTTTTAAAGAAAGTTTGTCACAGGAGGAGGAGGAGGAGGTAACAGAAAAGCAACAATCTGTTTGCAAAATAAGAGAAATGCTAAAAGCATGGCAAACTGTTGCATCTTACATTGAGAAGCATCACCCTAATAAGGAAGTGGTTATGCGCTTTGCAAATTTATTTAATGATAATGCTGTGTTGCATTTTCGGCTAATTTTAAAGCGTCGGCAAAAACAAATTTCTCTGGACATCTTTCTAGTTAAAAAAAAATGGCGATGTATCATAATTACATCGACTTTTTTCTGCAAATCAAATTCGCATTCCAGGTGGGTTCGTTCCGCGTTTGAAGAAAAGATGATGATTCACTCTCCTTTAATAATATGTATATAATTTTCTTTGAATAAACGTTAAACATAGCATTTTGTGAGTATTTTTTCGACATGGAACGCATTATCGTATTTTACATAATTTATATGAGAAAAAGTGTTTCGCATAACGAGTGTTTCGCTTAACGAGTATGATTCTGGAACGAATTAAGCTCGTTAAGCGAGGTTCCACTGTACTGATAAACAAAAACAAAAAAAAGAAACATATCGTCTTGTAGTACATCCTATGCAGAACGTTGCTCTCAGCACGGTTTGTGTGAATGAAACCGGGTCTCTCCAAATCTTTGCCGCCTCGTGCATTTTCATACTCATTGTGTCGTTTGCGTCAGTACTTATCTTTGTGTTGGTCGGCCTCTACCCTCTTTCCCGAAATAACACGTGCTGCTATTATTATTTTCAGTAGACATTTACTTTATACGGTCACAATTTTTCAGTTTCGAGGACAAGAAGATGTTTACTAGCGTTTACTTTCTCTTGATATTCACATCTTTTATGACGTCAGTTATTTTTATTCCTTCTTTTCCCGTGGTATTCTGAGAATTGTTGGGAAGAATTTTAGAATTTTAGCTCAAAAGTCCATATTTTCTTTCTCAAGGACTGCAAGACAGTCCACAACTGAAATTATAATTCTGCTAAAGGGAAGATGCAAAATTGCTGGTGCTTAACCCTACATTTCTAATAACTGTACATACACAATACAGATAATTCTAAAATATTCATATCTACTTCTAGCAACATCAATTTTCGATATTCAAATTTACATAACTAATGGTCTTAAACAGGTCAATTTGAGCCCTAAACATCTACACAACATCACTTAAAAGAAGCTAATGGATGCCGTCTAGAAACGCACATCAACACTAATATCCGGAACATTTTCAGGACAAATGCCAAAGTGACGTGAGATCTTTGCGTGTGGCACTGACTGCCCGAGACAAAGCTCAAAATAGAAATGACAATTTAAATGGTCTTCGTGGACTCGAAAGGTTTTACACATGTATCTCATTATTGACTTGTGGTTTGGGGAATTTGTGGCATGTGCCCTCTCGAATTTTAGCGGTACCAAACTGCCTAGGGGCCACAACCTGTGGACAGTTGTTTTTTTTTTTAAAGGGGGGGGGGGGGGGGGAGGAGGGAGGGTTGCACTAGTTTTGAAAGGTGATTTATAAGGTACTGTTAACGATGCATAGAAATTATCTTTCAGTGCACTTTTCAACACATTTCATATTATTTCAAGTATACTGATTTTTTTGTAATTTAGCACACCAATAATAATTAATAATAATAATAATGTGCTAAAGGACAAAGCCATATATTACTATACTTCAAAAAACATAAAATTTGTGAAAAAATACTTTGAAAAAAAAAAAGAAAAAGTGGTGGGGTGGGGTGGGGGTGGGGGGATTTTTTTTTCTATAAAGTTTCTTGTTGTCAAGAATATTGCATATTTCGCTTGAAATGACTTGAAATAATAGTAGCTTCATGAGAAGTAGTTAAATTAAAAATTGTAGCACTGTGGGTTGATGTAACCGCTGGACTTTAAATGGAAGTAGAAAAAAACTATATAATGTAATTGCAGCCCAACAAACGTATGGTGAGTTGCTTGGTAATGGATGAGTTTAAATCTGGAAAAGTAGCTAAAGATATCATAAACAGGTCAGGTCACTATACCAAATAAGATGCTGCGGATAAGCAGTAAGTATGTCGGAGAAACAATCTCTCATACAGGCGCGCCGCCACCAAAATATATTTGGGAGGAGGGAACCCTCAGCACACTAAAAAAAAGGTTAGTTGCGTATCTCTTACAGGACGTTGCAGAACCAGCCCCAACAGTTCCTGGCTGTTGTGTGGTTTCTCTAGGCAAATTTACGTCCAGTAGTTTGCCTTTGCGACTGGACGGTCGGCCCCCTGATACCTCTGTCGAAACCAACGCAAAGCACATGGCCTCCAGCTAGGATTGAAACCAGCATACTGGCATTACGAAGCGTTTGCATTGACTTAGCCACAGAGCCGAAGCACACGTATTTTTTTTTTCGGGTGCCTTATTTAGGTGTGCAATAATAGTAATTGTAACTATCGTTATTATGTGCTGTATGTAAAATAAATATGATACACTGTCTGAAATAATTTAAAATATGTAAACTAATACTTAGAAAGTTAAAGTCTATGCATGGTTAGTGAGACCACTTGGTCTCTGAACATTTTTTAGTTTTAGGAGTTGGTTAGGCTCTTTTTTTCCCCCAATTTCCCCCCCCCCCTCCCCTCCTCTTTGCTAGTTCCCGCAGAAATAACCTAGGGCAGGTGGCTGAGCTACAGAAACATTTATAGAGGAAATAGGAACAGCTAGGAGGGGTGATCATAAAGCCTCAACTCCCGGATTTCAGTGCCTCTGATGGCATATAATGTTGTTCTTGAATCTGACAGTTAAAGTTGAAACACAAAATAAAGTCAAGAGGGTCGACATCATTGCACCGGGTTTCATCCCACAGTTTTCGGTCTTTCTTCGCAGATCGTCTAGGCGCCTGCCGACAGCATAGCACAAGGCACGACCCTCGTAGCTGCAGCGATGGTCCTCATGATTCTCGGTAACAATTTAATTTGTAAACTAAACGGCGCATCTGTTAAACGAACCTGTAACCTTCAGAACGCCAGGCGATCGCCTCGATGACTTCGCCACGAAGACCACCTTCAGTATTGATGTGTATATACAGGTAATGGAATAGTACCCGTTCAAATCTTTCTTGCCTCTTGTCATTGTTTGCATGGCTGGCAATTGTTTCGATTCCCACTTGGACTGTACACCGTTAACCGTTCTGTTATACTGTCTGCTAGCACGAGTTAAATGGCCGAACCATTTCACTTGTTTTCTAATAACATCAAGCTGGCGATTATCCGTATTTTATTTTGGATTTCATAAATATTGTTTCTTGTCTAGACAGAGCCAAGCGATTGGTTAAAATTACAACATATTCATTGAGTAATTTATTGCATAATGAAGACGTTTCAGTCTCTAAAGATCTCGCTTGTTGGGGTTCACAGCCAGTGTTATTATAGATAATTGTAAAAAAAATTATAATATAAATATTATAACAGTGCAGTCAGTTACGAAGAGCATTTAACTTTGTTTATATCTGTTTATCTACATTGTTACAGAAAGCTCTGACACTCATACGTTATCCAAATGAACACAAAAGGGGCTGTAATCATACTGCCTACAACTTACTTTGAATTCCAGATGCGGGAATTGTGAAACTGCGTTCCCAACCTCTAAGCCACTGGGATTAGTAAGAACAAAGTCCAAATCTTTCTCAGACGGATTTAAATATGACTGCAGTTTCCATTCAGTGTTCGGACTCGAAAGTATTCTATACTGCCTCATCCGTTTTTTGTCATGAGTACAAGTTTCTTTCTATTCAATGTCATTGTTTTCCTGCGGTTCACTATTACTTTTGAGCAAAAATAGCTGGTTCATTCATTTTGTATTATGCCTTATGTTGTAGCTTTCGTTCTAATCCTCCTAGTTTATTCGAGTCGTTGACTTGAAGTATAAAAGGGATAAACTGTACAAGTGTTAATATCATCCACTGTAGCACAATGGTAAAGAAATATGCTCTGTTTGCGTAACACCTTGGCCCCTAACTCCATCTAAGAATTACAAGTTAAGTATAACCTAGATTATTTGTCACCGTCCGGACATAAAAACGAATCAACGGATGGCATAACTGTTTTAATAAATATGTAATATGTTACCTTTCCTGGAGGCAGCAAACGTGTCCTGTACCGGCAGAGTTTGTATGTCATAGACAAGTTTGGTGCTTGCTAGCAGTTCACGATCGTGGTTAATTCTGTAGATGGCGTACCTGAAGGCGTTCTCAACGCTGACATGCTCATCTTCCTCGCCAAATAGACCCCCTGTGGAGAAAAATATGAGTGTGGTTTAAGGTCCTCATCTAGTGAATTAACTCAGAATGCCTAATCCCCTAAGACCAATGTTGTTAAAAACAGTCAAAGAAACTGGAGTGGGCTTTACCAATTAAAATTAAAGATATAATAGAATAGAGGTCAAGCTGCGATTAATATTTGCTGTAAAACGGCACGGCATCTAGAGATTAAGGTTCACAAAGACGATTGATGGTATCTGATGATTAAAGTGTACTATGTCGAATTTTTGTCTTCATCGTGTCAACACTTTAGTACTGGTGTTTATTCTTTCTGTCTCTCTCTCTCTCTCTCTCTCTCTCTCTCTCTCTCTCTCTCTCTCTCTCTCTCTGCAGAATGACTTATTGCAGAAAGCAAGAAACCTAATAACTCCAGCTACATACCTTCAAGTTAATATGTTTGTTCGGTTGATTATCGCTCTCCATTCGATCGTCAATGGTATTTTCAAAGTGGTGTATGGCGTGTTCCTCAACCATTTTACACCCACGGCCCACCAAAACAGTAAAATTATTTCGCGGCCCACAAAAACAGAATACTGTGTTTCGCGGGCCACCAAAACAGAATACGTTGTTTCGCAGCCCACCTAAAAAGTAAGCATCGTTTTCGGCCCAGAAATATTTAACACTGTTGCGGCCAACCAAAACAGTAAACATTGTTTAGCGGCCAACCAACACAGTGGACATTCTTTTCGCGACCCACATGACAGCTAACAAAACACAGGAACACACAAAAATTCGGATAGCTGTTAATTTGTTAAACCTGATGTCACAAAATTAAAAGGGGGAAAAAAAAAAAAGGGGGGGGGGGGGGGAGGGTTAAAAAAATCTAGAGTAAAATCCATCTTATTTCTGCGTTTGGTTTTTACTCCTGACATGACAGAGAAAGTCTTTTCACAAAATTGTCAACATGTTCCGGTCACAATGGACGCTAGGCACGGTCATTGTTTCCAGTCGTGGCAGAGTTTTTGCTTCTGCCAGACGGTGGCCGTTGCATTTTTGCTCCATTTGTAGACTGAAAGGATATAGTTTTGTCTTCTAGCTACTGAGTTGAGTCCATAGTGCGACCCTATAAGCTGCGGATTTCATTTGGAATGTTTTTCTACTGTGACCAATTGTTCTGTTGTGAATAGTAGATTCAGAAAATGGCGTGTGGCCTGTCGTCACAATATTGGTGGTGCCCTTATGTGATTAAAATTGATCGCTATGCATCTGCTGATTTGTTAGTTACCTCTGCTACAGTCGATGATGAACTGCATTTCTAGTGTCGGACTGTTTGTGTTAGCACTTCTGATGGCTACCGTATGCTTTTAATGCATGAATATGCAAGTGCATTTGCTGGGAAAGCAGTCTGTCAATCTCTACACAAGGGACTGTGATGAATTTTCATATACGGGTGTATGGGTCTGGTAAGATAGCTCTGGCATCGCTAATCCACGTTCGCCATTTGGTTTGCCTTTGATATCTTAAATTGTTATGTCAGTGTCATATCAAATTTGTTTGTTTGTTTGTTTGTTAAACAAAAAGAAGTCTTGGAAATAGTCAACGCTTTGTTTAGATAAAATATTTCAAGGAGAAGGGAAGACTATGAAACGTAAATTGGAAATTCGGTGTTCTCTGAGTAAACGACAAAAAGATACAATTAGATTCTACTGTTTAGTTTGTCAGTTTCTGTTTTGATCGGTTGCTAACCTAGGGCGTGCTCTGATACTTGGTATGCGGCTATGTTGCTGGTAATGTCTGTCTTCTTACAAAAATGTGATAGTTGCTCCCTCACTTTGGAAATGGACAGGATGATTAAGCTTTTGAAAACAAACGATATAGACGAATTTCACGAATTAACTGTTTAGAACACAATACTAACTAGATGAATAAATTTGCAGGACATCAAGAGCCTGTTTTGGCAGTGATCAATTGTCCCAAACTAGTTTACTTTGGGCGCGTGGTAACACATGATTCGATTGCGAAGACTATATTTCAAGGAAAACTGGGGGATGGTGTGTAGGCGAAGAAGAGGGAGGAAAGACAACCTGAAATGATAACTTCACGAAATGGACAGGATGAAAGTATTACAGACCTGGTCACGACAAAGACAGATACAGATGGCGGGCTTTATGTGAAAGGGCTTTCACCGATACACCAGAACAACCGTAACATGTTATGTTCTGTAATATGTTATGTCATAAATGCTTTGGTTATCAGTGACTCCATCCGTCCCACTTGTTGTCTGTCTGACACTGCCTCTCAGTGTTTCCACTTACATGTTGCACAGTATTGCTGTCGGCATTCTGGATTCATTCTCATTAGGTCCTTCTGTGTTGGCTGCTCAAGATAAAGATGCAGCGCTTATATGAATGTGCTGTTATGTCGGTTCTTTCAATATTTTCTCAAAATGAATTTCACGAAAGATACTGTTTAAATATTGTCGTTGTCTGTGACCTAGTGGTTATAAAAGTGGTTTGTAATGCTAAAATCTTGTTTCGAAACAGCTGCAGACAATTTGGAAGCAGACCGCATTGTGTTGACTTGGATAGTGGTATGGACAGTTGATCATTCAGATAGCAATGGTAAACTATCAATCGTAAAATTACCTACCACAAACAGCTTATACATGCAGGAATTGGTCTGGAATATTATGCAAAGAATTTGCAACTAACTTCTTTTTTCCTCCAACGGTTTTTGTAATCTGTTCACTTTTCATATCATCGCCTGTGATTTTTGTTTGCAGCCATTCACAAAATTTCAAACATAAATATAGTCAACGTTACCAACTGTGTCAGCTGAGCAAGAATCACGTCATTAAACACCATTAGGAAAATATGTCTTGCAGAAGTATGTTGATCAACGATTAGGCTAGCCCTTATTGAAGATGATAATGTGAACGCACAGGGTATTAGGTTTGTTGCGTATCCTTTACAGGACGTTTTAGAACCAACGCCAGCAATGTTTTGGCTGTAGTAGTTTTTCTGGGCACATTATACGTTTAGTAGTTTGCCATTGCTTCCTGTTGCGATAAAACCCGGAACACCGGCATTGCGAAGCGCTTTCCTAACGCATAAGCCACAGACGCTGACGCAAAGGCTGCACTGTATTTTATTATTGGATGATCCAGAAAAGAAAACGCTTTCCTTTTTGCTTATCCATTTCTTCGTTTCTCGTGCATCTGTGTTGATTCTTCGTTCCTTTCATTTTCATTTTATATATGTGCCGATAATTATGAATATATTTCAATGGTTTCTTTTGTAATTAATGAATGTGGTTCTGAACTGATTGAAGGGTTACTAAGGCTTCCTTACGTTCTCATTTTCTATCCACAGCTTTGTCTCTCTGTGTGCCCCTCTTCCCTCTTTGGTTCACCCCTCTTTATGTGCGCAATTACTTTCTCTCTCTTTCTTTATATGTTTTTTTCCCCTAGCACTGTCTCTTTGGTGCCCTCTCTCTTCTTGTGTGCCTGTCCTTTCTCTATATCTCTAAACTTCACTCTTCTCCAACTCTCGCACTCTGCGTGTGCCTGTTTTTTCTCGCCACATCTCTAGTCACCCGTTCTCTCCCTCCCTCTCTTCGTGTGTGTGTGTGTCGTTTCTCTCTACATCTGCCTCTCTCTTCTCTCAATGTGCCATGTATGCGGCTCTCCTTCCCCTTTTGCTGTATGTCTGTGTCCTTTCCTCTTTCTTCCACAATGCGTATATTTTTTTACATATTCTATATATGTCTCTCTGTCCCTCCCTTGCATATGTGTGTGTGTGTGTTTGAATCTACCTTTCCTTTCTTTCATCTTTTTTTCTGCTACCTCGCTTTCTCATTTTCTTTAAGCCATTCGCAGACACCTTCCTAGACAAGCATAGATCTAACATATAACATTTTACCCGCCCACAACTAAAAAACAGATTCCTAAAGCTTAGTTCACATTTCAGCTAAGCGCAAAAAAAAAAAAACCCAACTGATCTGAACGAGGAAAAACGAAGCGATCCGAATTTAACCAGATCCCCACAATCTAGCTTTGCACAGAAGAAACTACCGAACCTAATCTACGCCAGGGGTGCCATTAGAAAGAAAACATTAGGGTGATGATGTAGTGGGGGGTGGGGGGGGGAGGGGGTTCCCTAACTGTACTGTTTTAGGGGGTCCGGGTGAAGGACGAAAATTGGGGGGGGGGTGGTGCATATTTCTTGGTTAAATCAATAATAAGAATAAGAATAATTAAGCTGAATGACAATATGAGATGAATTATAAATACGAAATTTCTAACAGTTTTTTTTTACGGTGGGAGGGAGGGGCGCTCTTAGCTCCTTTACACATTTTCTACAGAAAGTTCCTCTCCCCCTCCCCCATCCACCCTCTCCTTTCCCCTGGCTTTTTGTTTCCCACGAAATTACAATATTGGTGGGCCTGAGATTTTCTGGACCCCAAGATTTCAGCGCCCCTAATCTATGCCTAGACACGTCCTGGAGATAACGTTGTGTGTAAGAGCAATTGATACTGGGACTAACCGCAGCTTTGTGTTTTATCTTTCTGAACAATGAGGGCAATCCAAAGCTGGTTGGTAGATTTGCTATCAACAACAGGTGGGTGAGCACCATGTGGATTGGCTTCCCGTGCAAGTGATGTTACACACGTGAATGCTGACAGAATCTAATATGGAATCTGAGATTTAAAAGTCATGTTGATACTACCATAGGCGCGGATACATACACAGACATACACGGATACGCACGCACAGACAAACGCATACAAAGTCACAGAAATACACACAGCCCCACACACACAGACTCAAACAGACTCATACAGACACACACAGAGACATACACACAGAGAGACACACACGCGGACACACAAAGACACACCTACAGACACACATATACACACATAGAGAGGCATCCATAGATGCATGCAGACACACACATGTACACAAAGACATTCACTCATTGACAATACACACACGCAAACATGTTCCATGGAGCCCGCTTCTCCCTATGC